ATTATATTCTAAAAGGTCTTAAACTTTCTATGTAGGTGAGACACACAAGTGAACTTGTTATTCGGAAATAAAAAATAGGTGCGCCTGTGTGGCTCAGTCAGTTAAGTGGCTGCCTTTGGCTCAGGTCATGATCCCAGGGTCCTGGGATAAAGCATGGAGCATAGGGCTCCCTCCTCAGTGGGGAGCCTGCTTCTCCCTCCTGTTCACCGTGCTTGTGCTCTCTGTCAAATAAACAAAATCTTAAAAAAAATAAAATAAAAAATATATTTCAAAATTGCCATTGTTTCTGCTATCATGTATTTCATTACTCTAAAAAATGTTTTAAAACACACAAAAATTTAAATTTCTAGCCAAGCTCATAATCCTAGGGTGAAAGAATTATGACATACTAGTCAATTTTCATATACTTACATTCCTGGTGTAGCCTAATGTTATTCTCTATCAAAACTGAAAAAACTAGTTGTACAGCTTGACCTTAGAAAGACAGGCTTCTAGTTTTTGTTTTTTAGGAATCAATTGGACCTCATTATTACGATAATTTCAACAACAATAACGTCTTTAACACCTACCATTCATTCTCACATTGTATTAATAATCATCAATTTAAAATATATTCATTGGTCAGAAAACTATTTTCAATCTAAAGTATCTGAATCTTAAGAAAGAGTAACTCAAGATTTTTTAATAGGAGCTAAATTGCAAAAAGTTTACATTTTGTGAAGAAAATATGAAAGGATGACTGCAGGGATTAGGTGAGGGGTATCAAGTTCTCTAGCCTCTTCCTCTTGTTCTCCCAAGAAGAGAGATTACCATTTCTCCTCAGTCAGAGTCCCTAGCTGCATTTCAGTGTACCATGGAGAGATGGACTGAAGTTTCAGAGAGGGAAGTATGGCAGGGAGGCACGCAGGTACTGCAAAAATCGTACCTCTGCTGTACCCATTAGAAGAGGGAAAGACAAATAACAAAGTCACATTAATCCAAGTATAAAATTATCATAAGAGATTCAAAATAATGAAATGAACATTTAAAAACAAAAGGCCTTTATGACTAAAAAGAAATAACCAAATTTCAGAAATTGATGGGAATCAGCAAAAACATTTTCTTAAGATTTTATTTTTAAAGTAATCTCTACACCTAACATGAGAATTGAACTTACAACCCTGAGATCAAGAGTCCCACACCTACAGACTGAGCCAGCCAGGCATCCCAGCAAATTTTTTTAAAATAATTTTTTTTAACTTTTGTGTTTTATTTCTGTAGTTTTATTTCCTCTTTATAACCTCAAATTTTGCTTCAAAGTACTATCCTCACATGTTTCTTTATTCCTTCCCTACTGTATTTTAAAGTTACTTCCACAAAATAGGAATTTTACTAATCAACTTATTTCACAACTATTTTAAACTAATCACAAATATAGAAAATGTCTCATTTCTAAAAGTCACTTTTCTTGAGTATCAAACAGAAAGTTATATTTTCAAACACAGTATGTCTTTATTAGGAAATCTGGGACACAGATATCTATTTGCTAGATAGAAAAGCAACAACCTAGAAAAATATTTCCCTTTAAGTACTGGCTAGATAGCTCAGGTTTCTCAACATCACTCAGACCCCTTTCTCTGAGCTTCTGACAGCAGCAAATCCCAAATCTTGAAAAGGCTTCAGATTTTTTTTTTCCCAAATATCTTTAGCCTTAAAGTTAACTAACACATCAGAGATTTTCAATAAATACCTCATTTTTTACATTTTTGTCAAGAAGCCAAGAGAGCCTACTGAAACTTTTGTCTAGGAAAATTTTCTATCTCTGCCAGAATCCATTTATTTATTGTTTCCAGTGCTAAATGTAATGTGTAAAATTATAAAAACCTAAACTATGAAAAAGGCAAGGTACCAAACCATATAGAACATGTTACCCCTAGTGTGTAAAAACGGTTATATGTTTCAAATTGTACAGACTATCCCAGAAAAAAACAGGTAATAGTGCCTCTGAAAAGGGAAGAGGCTGGAGGAGAGGAGGGCCATCTCTTTTCACTGTATTCCCTTTGGTGGTATTTACTTTTTTCCTCTCTGTGTGCCAGCATTGTTTTTAAGGAAAGCAAACCGAACAAAAAACATTCCTTAAAAATACATTTCTGTGAAATCCAATTTAGTCAATAATATTTAAAAATCTACGGAGTATAAATTTCCGTACATAATTTAGACAGACAATAATCTGATGAAGTGAATTTGATGAAAAGCTTTAATGGAATATCAAGTGGACTGTTTTAATTTGTGTCTGTATATAAATGTATATATACATCCCCTAGACATCATCTGCACGTATCCAAATGGTGTTTCCAGCATGAAGGTATGTCATTTCTAGAATGAGACACAAATAATTGATAATGAGAAATGTTAAAGATCGTGAATTTTTTTCATAACTACTGACCTCCAGTGAAGGAGTAATATTCAGGGTATCAAGCTCCCCAGCAGCCAGAGTGACTCTCTGCAGAGAGCCTCCAAATATGATAAAGTGCTTTTTTATTTAAAAACGGGGTCCTTCCATATGTAAATGAACCTGTAACAGGACTCAATACAGCTGAAAAAATAAGCAACAACTTGCAGTATAACCGCTTGATGTGAACTGCTATCCTGTAGTTCTATAAAACAAATTACACAAGATGAAATGTATAACCTGAAAACAGACTGAATAATAACTGGAAAAAATTGTAATTATAAACACTTCTTCAACTTGGGTAACTAATCAACATGAACATATGACAATAAGTTTCATTTCTGAGACATGTTTGAACTTGAAAAATAAAATATAATGGTTCACATGGACTTTTTTATCCATAAATTCCATCACACAAGTATTTTTACTTACCTTGTTGTCTCTAATAAAAGTTTGAAATGTCTTTCTACTATTTTTTGTTTAAGCCAGTACAAGTAAACAATACAATTTTAATTAAGCCAAAATTTAAAAGCCAAATTGCTGTTTTCAGTGTTCCAGCAATCACTCAAGTACATACATAAATGCTTCTTTGTGTGCCACCAATTTTTAAAAATTAATAGGCAATTCCAGTTGCAGGTGAGGATGAAGACCTAGCCCAAATGTTTCAAGTTCAGGAAAGACCTGTAAAAGTAGCATCATGTTAAAATTGTAGCAATACTAACCTTGCTAAGTCAATTAACTGACAACTGCAAACAATTCATGTAACTTTGCCTTTTGTTCTTTCAGCATTTTTAAATACTACTCTACACACTTGTCTGGTTGACACTTTGTTCTCACAGAGGATCATACTGGTCCCTTCCTACCCCCTCACCCCTAAAGAGGGCAGATTCTTTGCAAAACTCACTGAAATGAACAAAACAATGATTAAAACAGTAAGAACAAAACTCTGGAAGACATTCCAACCAAAGGGCTAAAACCAAACAGGAAAAGGAACAGGTAACACTGTTCTTGCCTTCAAGACATGTACTGTTAGGTTGACCTGGAATGGTTTTCACACATCCTTTTCTTCTTCTTTTTAAACAATAAAATATGGCTTAAGAAAGCATTCTCCTTGTTTTTCTTTCTCCTGCCCCACCAGTACGCAGGAAAACTTAAGCACTGTATCTTTGTTTCCCCATTTTCATTTTTTTTTAACTGCAAGATTGTTTTCAAAATTTAGTCACTATGCTTTGCACACTTCTTTTGTCTTATTCTTTGTCGTGTTCAGCATTTGGTGGAGAGTTCACAATGTCTAAGTTCTTTGCTCTGCGGGTAAATTTGCAAATTAAAGAATGACAAAGTTTTTAAAAATCAGTTTATCTATGGCTTTGTATTTTTCAAGAGAAACTATCTTTTTTACCTGGTTTCTGCATCCATTTCATATTCCTTGAATATGTACTTTCTGACAACAAAAAGACCCATTTCAAACAGCTAGAAATACTTAGGTTTTCAGAGTTTTTTCTTTCTCTTCTTTTTGATCATGGTAGTGATAGGAGAATAAATCCTAAATTGAATATTTACTTTAGAGAGAGAGATGGGGGGGCAGAGAGAGAGAAAAACAGGGAAGGAGGGAGGGAGGATGGGGGGAAAAAGGAGCAGCAGCAAAGGAAAGAAAACTGTGAAGAACTTTACAGGTGCAAAATGAACATGAAACATTCTAACAAATAAAAATGTACCCTCTTTCCCTTATCCAACCTCCATCCCCACAGATAAAAACAGAATACTTACAAGTTAGTAACTGTGTATTTGTGGGTGTCTCTGTGTGCATGTTTTCTCTCTTCTTTGGATTTGGATACTTTGAGCTAATTTGGAAGTGCCCGTTTGGATGCCCACAAAATGATGCTTAAGGGTCTAAAGATGCATAAATTAGAAGTCCTACAACGGCAGAGGATGGTTATTGTACCTCATCTCTTTATGCGCTCTTATGGTGGGACCCAAGAGCCTTTTTTTTTTTTTTTAACACTTTAGATGATGGAGGGAATGAGGGGCTAGTCGCTGTAGAGGACCAGGCGAGCCCTGCACAACCCCTCCAACTCAGCACCACATCCCCGCTCCCCAAATATGCTGGACTTTCCTACAAAGTCCCTTTAGGGAAACTCCGGTCTGGAAGGAAAGAAGCGCTGAGTCCTTGACGTCAAGCCCCGACGCCGACCTCGGAGTTTCTATTTCTGGTGCTTGAGGGTTGGGGTAACTGCTGGGGATGGAGGCGGGAAGGATGGAGAAAGCAAAGGGGGGTGATCTTCTCAAGAAACACCCAACTGCCCCCTTTACCTTTTTTGCCTCCATTACGGGGGGTGGGGGGTAGAAAAAAAGATGTCAATGACCATTGTTTGCTCGTTTGGGATGTTGCTCCGCCCCCCGAGTCTGTCGTAAACCTGGCGGCGGACTAAAATAAACCCCAGATCCCGCGGCTCGAGGGCTCGCCGCGCCGCCGACTCCTCGTCACAGGCGCTGCCGCCGCAGCCGGGGTGGCGGCGACGAGCGGCCGCCGCGTCCCGCCCGCGCCCGCCCCGGGCCCCCCTACCTGGCCGTCCGCCGAGCCATGTCGTTGAGCCCCAAGCACACGACGCCCTTCTCCGTGTCCGACATCCTGAGCCCCATCGAGGAGACCTACAAGAAGTTCGGCGGCACCATGGACGGCGCGCCGCCCGGCCTGGGGGCGCCCCTGGGGGCCGCGGCTGCCTACCGTGCGCCGCCGCTCGGCCCCTCCTCGCAGGCGGCGGACGGGGCGGGCATGCCGCCACCCCACGCCATGGCGGGCCACAACGCGGCGGCGGCGGCGGCCGCGGCCGCGGCGGCGGCGGCGGCCGCCGCCACCTACCACATGCCGCCGGGCGTTTCGCAGTTCCCGCACGGCGCCATGGGCGGCTACTGCAACGGCGGCTTGGGCAACGTGGGTGAGCTGCCCGCCTACACGGACGGCATGCGGGGCGGCGCGGCCGCCGCGGCCACCGGCTGGTACGGCGCCAACCCGGACCCGCGCTACTCGTCAAGTGAGCGGGGCGGGCAGCGCGGGGCTGAGGGCAGGCGGACGGCGCGGGCTTTGCCCGTCACAGCCCGGGGCGCGCGCGGAGCCGAGGGTCCCGGGCTTCTGGCCCGGGCGCGCGGGGGGTGCCGGGACTGGGCTGGGGGCGCGCGGAGAGTCCTGGGACCCGGCCGGGGGCGCCGGGCCCCTGGGCGCGCGGAGCGTGCTGGGACCCAGCCGGGGTCGCACCGGCGTCGCGGCCCGCGCGGTGTGAAGAGCGTGGGGCGGCGGCGGGAGCGGGATACCTGCAGGCCTGGCGCTCACCCGGCTTCTTCCCTTGGGGCCCTCCCCAGTCTCCAGGTTCATGGGGCCATCGGCGGGCGTGAACGTGGCCGGCATGGGGTCGCTGACGGGCATCGCGGACGCCGCCAAGACGCTGGCGCCGTTGCATGCGGCTGCGGCGGCTCCGCGAAGGAAGCGTCGCGTGCTCTTCTCGCAGGCGCAGGTCTACGAGCTGGAGCGTCGCTTCAAGCAGCAGAAGTACCTGTCGGCTCCCGAGCGCGAGCACCTGGCCAGCATGATCCACCTGACGCCCACGCAGGTCAAGATCTGGTTCCAGAACCACCGTTACAAGATGAAGCGGCAGGCCAAGGACAAGGCGGCGCAGCAGCTGCAGCAGGAGGGCGGCCTGGGCCCGCCGCCGCCTCCGCCGCCGTCCCCGCGTCGCGTGGCGGTGCCCGTGCTGGTCAAGGACGGCAAGCCGTGCCAGAACGATGCCAGCACGCCGACACCCGGCCAGGCCGGCCCGCAGCCACAGGCCCCGACGCCCGCGCCTGAGCTCGAGGAGCTGTCGCCCAGCCCGCCCGCGCTGCACGGCCCGGGGGGCGGCCTGGCGGCCCTGGACGCGGCCGCGGGGGACTACGGCGGCGGCGGCGGCGTGCTTGGCGCCAACCTGCTCTATGGCAGGACGTGGTGACCGCGCGGGCGCCCCGGAGCGGGGTCCCGCCCGCGGCGCGGAGGTTGTGTAAGAAACTTCGAGAACGGATGGGGAAGACACACCGAAGCTGACTCTTGAGTACACGGAGATCAAAAACTAATGAACGGGTCATGGAGAAGGGCAGCCTCTGAACCTCTTTGCTGGGAGGGGTGGGGAACAGCGACAGCCCCGGAATTGAATAATACGACACCAGGAGGCTGTGAGGTGGTGATTTCCTCCTTCAGAAGTTCGTAAATTATTCGAAAAGCTGGCTGAGCCCACATCCACCACGTTCCTAACCAAAGCTCTCAAGAGTTTTAAAAGTTGGAAACTTTGTTGGTGTTTGTAGCTCTAAAAATCAACCCAGCTTTAACAATGAATCCTTTTTTGAAGTGGAATTTGAGAGATTAATTTTCAAAGGCCTCCCCCTTAAGTGCAATTTCATTAATGTTTGATTGAAAGTAACTTGTAGCTCAAGGTGGATCATGCACATTGCAACATTACTGCAGGGGAATTATTGCCGTTTAGGTAATAGAGAAATGGAATAAAAATAATCAAAATACTGTTTATAAGGCTTGATATAGCTTTTTAAATTTAATGGCGATTTTAAAATGTTTTGATCGTTATTTGGCAAATGAGTGTTTATATATTACTCTAAAAGAGGATATTTCCTACCTAAGATGCAGCTCGTAAGAGGGAAGGGTTGTAAACTACTTTTTATGTGGAATCTGCTCTCCCAAAATCAAAGGATAAAATAAATGCACGCTGCCTTTCCATGGACCTGTTATTTGCTCTAAGTTATTTGCCTGTCTGAATTTGAATACCTTGATAAAATACTAGAACAAGCAAGCGAATTTGCTAAAATTGACATCAGTCTATATTTCAAAGCATGTCAAGAAGGAAGAGAATAAGGTGATTTATTGAATTGTAATCAGAATGTAAAGAGTAAGAATTATAATTTTCCCATTATATTTGCAACTTAATAAGGGTTGCACACCGCTTTTATTGGTGTTTTATTGTACAAATAATGTATTTACTCTTTAATATGCCAATTTATATTTCCTATGTTTCAAATGAATATTTAAATATAACTTAAAAGAATCTTAAGTACTTTTTTGGTTAAAGTCAAGTGGTCATTTCTTTTTCACTAAGTTGTATAGGTTTTATTTTGGTTTGGCTTTTTTTTTTTTTTAGCAGTAGTTGGCATGACAAGGCAATGCAGCTCAGTTTACTCATGATTTAAATAACTGATATTGGAGTAAAAATACCAAAAGCAAGCTGAAGAATGTTAGCTTATAAAATGAATGAAAATTAAAGACCTAACGTGGATAAAGCATGATTTATAAGTTATCACAAACTGTCACCAGAGACTAAAACTTTTACACATTTGAAGTTTTAGAATTAGTCTGAGACTGAAACATTTCATTTCACTTCATTGTTTGGGTGTTTTTCGAATGTGCAAAGTGAATCCTTCAGAAGGTGTTTTAGAAATTAAACTTGCACTTTCTCTAAACTGTATTTTACATAATAATGATAAAACTCAGTCCCTTTCACAGGGGGGGAAAAACAACCACTGAACAAGCAAGTGCATCATCTTTATCAAGGGTGTGTGAATGCATTTTTGGAAAATGAGAACTAATTTTTTAAAAAACATTTTACATAAAAGGAAATAATTTGAGCAGAAAAAAATAGTATGAAAATGGTGTAATACACTTACAGAAAATTCTCCCAATTTGGGTTTTTGCATATTGATAGAATTGACTTGCAAAATTTTTGCCAAGCTAGCATAATTATTACTGATGTGCCAAATTTCAAAATGCTTGTTTATATTGATTTGATTCCCTCATAGCAGTACAAGAATTCTGAAATTTTCTAGAAAATGTTTTCCAAAAGTCCACATGGTTTGCAATATTTATATTTTACAACCCACTATTTACCAATAATAGCTTATGGACTAAGGGCTCCAAGTAACATATTTAAAGAAAACAAAATCTTCATGGACAGTTTTTCCCTTGATAATTTATTTCTGGAACAAAGAGTCTAATCTTAGACAAGTGAACTCTGTATCCAAAAGATCATTAAGAAAAAACAGCTTTTATACAGTATTTTCTAAAAGTGTATTTGCTGTAGGCATATCTTTTTCCTTTCAGCATTCCTTTAATAGAGGAACCACTGCCAGAAGTAATCACTGCAGAAGTAATCGCTGCAGAAGTAATCGCTGCAGATGGCTTAACATTCTACACCCAGAAATGCACCGAGTTTATGTGTGCACATTCCGAAATTAGGATAAGGTTTGTTTCTTGAAACATTGAAATAGAAAATGTTTTTACTATAGAATTCTGCATTCTCATTAATGCAAAGCAAGAGCTTTTTTTCTTTTCTTGCAATTAGTGCTTTGCAGATCTTTTATAAAAACACAAACAGCCAGACTAGGTGAAACTCATTAACTGAAGAGGAGGATAAGTATCTTCACAACCAAGAGGGAGGGCCAAGGCAGGGTCTGAGTGGAACAAAGCCCTCTCGAAGTTTAACAGAGGCCACAGCAAAACTCGGTTCCAGAAATGCTAACTGCAGATGTGATATTTTCCTAAATGTTTTGGGGCTGTACAACAAACTTATCTTTTCCAGTTGAGGCACAGAAACAACCCAAAATCAAAGTTGCAGAGAGGAACAGCAGGGATTGCAAATACTTTTCTGTGATCTGCGTTGGGATATGAATGAAAGCTTTGAGTGTGTGGCAGTGTGCAATGTTGAAGGCACAGGAATGGTGTTTTGTATATAAAGCATGGAGGGTGTAACCCAGTTGATTTCTATTTAAGGCTTTGCTTAGAATTAAAACCTAATGGTCAGAACAAGTAGTCAATCAGACTTTTATCAACACAGATGTTGTATCCAAACTCCATTCTGCTATCAATTGTTTACTTTCAATTTAAAGCAAATCAGAAACTCTATCCCGTTCACTGAATGCAAGCACCTTCCAAAGAATGGCTTTGTTAGCTGCGTTGAATGATGATTTAGAAAGACTTTTGGAGTAAATTTGTAAACCACAATCACATAGAGACCCATCAACTGGGTTTTTAGATACGAATTTGTGCATAAATAATGCATATGTAGTGGCAATACAAATTTCAGATGTTCAAAGCATGAATGATATTGCCCAACCGGTTAACACAACACTAACGTGTGGATAAACCCCTGTATGTTGACTATTTTGGCCCAATTTTTTAAAATGCTGCTACTTGCCATGCCCGAACCCAATGAGACAGGGAACTAGGATACAACTTATTTAAAAAAAAAAAATTAAATAGCTTTTTACTGCTAGTGAGAATTGGTGAGCATCTGGAGAAGATTCAGAGAAAATGACAGGCGCTGCATTCACATTCTGTCAGGAATTTGCTCTCCCTAGTAGGTATTGAAAAAACTTTGTGATTTCAAGATCACTTCTATTATTTTTAAGTTGGAGGGTAGTGGAAGCTTCTGGGAGAGTTTTTTGGTTTCATTGTTTTTGCTTTAGATGTTTACCTGCAATTGAATGAAATGTGTACCGGAAATTGAATGAAAGGCCTTTTATTTTTTTAATCCCTTGTAACCTCTATTACAGTCATTGTTTAGGTGACTTCTAATAAAGGTTTAACCACTAACATTGCCTAACTCTAAGTTGTGCTATTTTGCAGTAATGAATAACTCTATTCCCATTTCACATACAAAAATCAAAGCATGTTCTCTCTTGGCCCTCATTCCATAAATACGAAATCCAGAAACAAGCAACACAAGTGGTTAACTTTACCGAGTGGAGGAAAAATCCATCAAGAACGGGCCGTTTGTTATTTTATTGTTTGTTGACTTTTTTCTTGGTTAGAAATAGCAGGGCAGTCGATCTCCAGGAATAGTCTGGCGGGATCTCAGCTCCCTGACCCTCTGGAGTGATCTGGAAGAGGGGTCGGACGAGCCAGACGGAGCCAGACAGCTTTCAGCGGTCCGGGAATGGGGAGTCTTAGTTGACTCTTAAGAGAATGTCTAAACTTTAGATTTCTAAGCTTAGCTAAATTCGGTTACGCTCAGACTTAGAACTTAAAACTGCAGCCTCAGAAGTAAGATCTCCGCCGTCCCCTTACAGGATCGGTGTATGCATTTCGTGCAGGGAGTTGAGACGGTAAAACGAGCAGATGAGAAAGCTGCGGCGCCACTTCCAGGAACCGAGGATTGCCGCTGCAATATCCACTTGGGGCCTGGCGGCGGCCGCGACACACAAACCACACTGCAGGTCGGGGGTTTGAACTTCCCTGTGACCACCCTGCTCGACACCGGCGGCTCGAGGGACTCCGGAGCCGGCGAACGGCTGGACGCGGGCCGGGGCGCCGGAAGGCGGGTCAGGCGAGCGCTGAGAGGAGCGGATGGGTCCCAGGCGCGCTTCCCCACCCCGCGGCGCCCCGGCCCGCGGGACCTTGCCTCTGAGAAGCAGCCCTTCTGTCCCCTCCGTGCCAGGCCCGCAGCTCCCGGACGCCGCCACCGTCCCGCCCGGCTGCGATGTTACCGCGCCCCGAGGCCCTCGCCTCGGTCGGAGGTGTGCCCGACCTCCAACGCGCCCCGCGGAAAACCGGAGCTCGGAACCCTCCCCAGCCCCACCCTGGCCCGCCCAGACGACCCGCGCCCTCGGACGAAAATTAACCATCGCTCATTACACGCAATTTGCCTTTGTAACGCCAAACGGCAATCTAGTAGTTTGTACATGGCTTTGTATTTTAACGTGCATTACCTCATTTGATCCTTAAAAGGAAGACAACTGCTCATTAAGGGCCCTTAGCGCCACAATAAAGTCACTGTTTCATGTTCTAAGATTTTTAAGCATCTTTAATATGAGACCCTGAAAACCTGTGTCCTACTTAAAGATAATTATTTAAATTTGGCCCATTAACTATTTTTACCCCCGAATATGGAGGAAATGTTTATAGCTTTAAACACTCCATTTTCAGTTCTAAGAAGCGTTCACTTGTTGAAGTAACAGGGCATTTTTTCTGGCAGATTCAGACGGGCGGAACAAGTTGGAAGGAGATGGAGGGAGAGTAAGGGGCGAGAGGAGGGAGCAAGGATGAAGGAATGGAGCAGGTCCAGAAGTGAGGGTTCAGCTAGCTGGCAGGTGTCCTGCAGGGCACCCCACCAGGTAGAGGGAATCTAGCTGGCACTGCTTTTCCATCAGGCTTTTTGCTTATATATCTTCAAAATACTTTAAACATTCATTTTAAAATTTAATTTGTTTTTAAGAGTTATATGTAATTATGCAAAGGCTGAGCAAAAAGTTACTTTATACACACTCATGATAGCTTAAGGTTAAACAAAAACTGGAAATCTGAGAAAATACAGGTTAAGTGGAAGTGTGGGTTTGGGGTACCTATAAAGCTATAGAGTAAGACATTTATATGGGCTCCTTTGGAACATGAAATACTTGATTTAGGTGGCTATTCATTTGTAGTATTTGGAAGACAGAGAAATTTAACAAAAGGTGTTATCACTTTAACATATTATGAAGGTTATAATGGTTGTGTTGATTCCCAGC